AGAAAGGAGAGAGAGAAAGAGAGAGAGGCTGGGGATGGCCTCACTGAGCTATTGAGGGATAATCCACCCATTGTGTAATAGTTCTATGACAAGTGTTCATGGGTTTTAAATGTCAAGTTTTGTAGTGTAACCCACTGTCTACACAAAGAAGTAACCAGTACTTTTTATTTGCTTACACAAAAATAGTTACCCTCTTGTCTTTCCCTTCTGAACAAGCATCTGCCTGGGGTGCATGCGAGTGGGAGAGAGGTGGTGCAGTCTGACTTGCTTAGCAATCAAATGGAAGAGAGAGTATCCTGAATTCACAGTGGGCTGCTGTGTGGGAGGAGGAGTGAATGTCCTTCCTGCCCGATAACAGGATTAATTCCAATCCCACACACTAACTTGTGTTCTAGGGTGCATTTATCGGTACAAGCCCCTACCATGAGCTAGCACAGCGGAGTCATCTTCTCTGTGTAATGCTGCGCTCCATTCTGCTTCCCTAGATGTGGGCTTGAAAGTGAACGTGTATTTGTGTGCATGTGCCTATGTGTGTGTGTAAATCACACAGCCAGATGTCCTTGCATAACTATAAACTATTGGTTTAACTCTGTTATTTCAATTTCTTTCTTTTTAGAAGCCCCAGCTAACTAAAACAATAATAAAACGCTTATGTTGCAGCCAGTCCTTTCCAAGGTCATGGCTCCAGTAATGTCTACAGAAGTATACACCAGTGTTCTTGGTTCTCATTCACTTTTAAATATCAGTTTCTTCTTGCAAATGAAACATATATACATAGCTAGATACACACACACATACACAGCCTGGACAGAAATATTAAGGCCTGTCCCTGAGCCACTTCCTTGACGTTTAGTTCTGAAAACCATCTTTGGCATCCCTTTGGGACTGTGTGGTAGCCAGGGCTGTGTCCAAACCACCTGAGTTTGGACTTCCCTGTCTGCAGTCAGCGCTTTGATTGTTAATTCATTACAGATGTCAACACTTCTCATCTGGAAGGATATAATGCGTTGGTTGTACCTTGTTAACATGCAAATCCCTCACAAAAAAAGAAAAAAAGTCCATGCAAATTCCCCCTAGATAATATTTAAAGATGAGTTATGAAAGATGACTGAAACAATACTTGAAGGCACTCTTTTCCAAATACTGTGTAGAAATAGTGTGCATTTCATGTCATAATAGTCAAATGAAAACTATATGAAATACTAAGGTGAATTAGCCATTTAAAAGATTAGTTGGATATTGACATGCACTATAATTCTGCACTCATAATGCATGATTAAGATTTCCTGATGTAGCCTAGGAAAAAAAAAGCTGTGTGTGTGTTAACAGTTATACAGAAGGCAAAAGCACATGGAATTTCAAGGATGGAACAATACAGCCTTGTTGGTTTTGGCAAAGTACAATCTTTAGTCATGAAAACCTGAGAAATTTGGGGTCAGTCCCATAAAGGCTTACACATATGCTTATCTTTATGCATAACTCATGCGTGCAAATCGTTACAGCATTTGGCCTCTGACATGGCTGCTTCAGCAGAGTTCTGTACTGTAAAACCTAGGGTGTGATCTTGTTCTTACTGAAGGCAGTGGGACTTTCCCTGTGAGCAGTTATTTATGTGAGCCAGCAGCATTAGCCCATAAGTGGCTAAAACAGTAAATTAGTTACTCAGATGTTATGAACTTTAAAAAAGTGCTTTCTCCTAACTTCAGAGGGAGAAAAGGAATCTTTGAATAGTGGCTCTATGCTATTTTTCATGATTATATTATTTACTGTGGTATCGTCCTAAGGCCCAAACGAGGCTCCCATTCAAGGCTTCTTTATACCACAATTACGCAAGCAATCACTGCTTGGATTCTAACCATCTATTGAGTTTTTATAGAGAGCTTTAAATTTGAAACCTTGAAGTAGTATAAGCTCAATCATGAACACTGCCACACTCAGGAAACCCGATCCTGATACAGCTTTCAGGCAAGAGTCATAGGTAAATCGCTCACTTGTCTTATATTCAGTGTCACTCTCCATACCAGACACATACTTGAAGTTTAAACAGTGATAGGAGTCATGGTTTTAAACAGCTTTTATTAAATGACAGGAGTGCTGCAGCAGAAAGACTTGTGGCTATTTAGAAAAATAAGAAGCATCTACTACCTACCTAAAATATCAGATTGGTTTTATTTTATATCTACTGCAAAAGAGCCACACTACATCAAGCAGATGATGATGAGGCTGTTGGGACACAAGCGTTTGGTTGCTGCATCTGGCATTAGCATGGGATGGCAGAATCACCGATCAGGATTTAATTTTCATTTCTTGTCCTAATTTGCATTTCCTATTACTGTGTGTTGCCTTTCAGCCCTGTGGATTCGGGATCTGACCAAAAGCCAACTGAAAGCTCAAACCAGTAAAAGTCCAGAATTTCTTTCTCTCCCTCAAATAGAGTAAAACAAAAATAAACATCCTGCCTCCTGTTCTTTCCCCTCACACATATACCTACTTGAAAATGTCTGCCTCTTAGGAAATAGGCATCAGTAATACAGAATCACTTGTATCTTATTTACAGGAGACTCTGGCCACAGCTTTTCCTTTGGTCACACAACAATGAAATGGATGAGGTTGGTAGTGTGTCACTCTAATAGAAAGAGAAGCTCAAAAGAAAATGTGGAAGCGGTGGAAGCCCGCGTACTTCACAAGAATGATTTTGAATCTGTGTGTCCATGTGGGAAAATCTTCCTTGATACCATCTGCTTATAAAGAAGAAAGAAAGGAAAAATAGGGAATAGAACAACCTATTGCCGTTGTCCTCTCTGGGTTTAGTGAAATGGACAAATCAGCAATACTACACAACTGTAAGAGAAAAACAAACAGAGGAATTGGTAGTCCACAAGTCCTATGCTCTGTCATTATTAACTGAAAAAATAACAGCAGCCCATCTAGTCACTGAAATTGTTCAATTTACTGTTTTTAAATGACTGAGTAAATTTTCTATTGTGAAGAAAGTCATAGTATACATGCTTGCCTGATCTGGGAAGTATATCTGTGGTGGCTGCTTTCCATGTGCAGTGCCTGTGCAGAAAGCACGCTTCACTTGAGTGAATATCCAAAACATGTAGTTTCACACAAGACTATGAATTTAAAACATAGCAGGGAGAGAGACTACGATTAAGAAATAATGCTTTACTTCTTCCAAAGCATAATTACAGGATGGCAGTGTAGAACATCCAGATTATGTTATCAGGCAGCCTTATTTAAACATAGCTACACATCCCCAAACGATAAATAATGTACATGTGGTAGGCAAGAGTCATCACTCTTGCAACAGTGGAGCTGCCTGATTTGCACGATTTACTGGGAAAAAAAAAAAGGTTTTATTATAATTTGAATTCATATGAGATCATTTATAGATATCGGTTTAGAGCAGTCTCCTCCTCTGAGTCATGACCACCTGTTGGGCTACAGAGCTGTGGTGCAAAAGGAGGGAGGGAGAGGAGAGGAAGATTTAGCCATTTTTAGAGAAGTGAGCCCACCAGTCCATGCACATCTTTCTCTCCCAGAGTTCCTGCAGTATTTGACTTAGAGGGGCCCGTTCTGCTGCCGCAGCAGCAAGGGGCACCCTAGGCGTGCAGATGTGCTTTTGTGTCACTCCTCATTGCAGAATCAGGGGGGCTCGCACTGCTCTGCCCCTGTGTATCTGCTAGGGTCACCCTGTGAAAAAATGAGGCTTCGACTGCTCTAAAGCATGCACCTCTTCCTGAACTCGCGCTGAACGGACAGACCCTGTCTGTCCTCGGCTGGTTTAATTCGCAGCCCTGCACAGGGCTCCCAGCTCTGACGCTGGTTCCGAGCCGAGGCCGGTGTTCGCCGCTCCCTTACGATGCGGTGCCGGTGCCTGCCACCTCCAGCAAGTGCTCACTGGCACCGCGGGAACACACCGACGGAAGGACTAACTGACGGACAGGTGGACAAACGGCAGGGCCCCTGAAGAGTCCCCCCTGCCTCGCTGTTAGTTTACAACGCGTTTCCTTAAGGAACCAGAAGCAGCGGGAGTTTCAGCTCTCGGGGCCCCCGGGCGGGCAAGCTGCCCCTGAGGCACCGAAGGACCTGGCGCCCGAGCTTTGATCCCTCCGATTAAACTGTTCCCGGAGAGGATTGCTTCTGAACGCTCCGAGAGTGATTTAAAAGCACCGCATCGCTCTTTATTAATGTAATGCTCTTTAAAATTGAAAGTACACTTAATCCCCTCGTACCGAGCGGGGGTAGGGAGCAGCGTGTGGAGCGTGTTAAAGCTCCTGCCGGGGGGAACCCGCAGCACTGTCACCTCCTGCCCCCCGTGAAGTGGGGCCGAGCCGCCAGTGACAGAGACCAATTTCAGTGGGGGAACCGCCCCGCGGGCACCGGAGAACAGTTCCGCAAGCCGCCCGTACCTCACCTGCAAATTCTCCCATCGCCACCCTTCCTTCCCCGTGGGAAGCCTAAGTGCGCTCCCCCCTGCGAGAGGGCGGCCAGTGCCGGCAGCAGCTGAGCTGCGTGTCTCTGCTCGGCGAGCCGCGCAGGAGGGGAAGGAGGAGGGAGTGAGGAGAGCCCCACGCACTGCCGGGTATCACCTCCATCGGTGATGCCGCGGCTGTCACCAGCGCTGCCTCCACCCCTCACCCCCGGGGGATGCCGCCGGGCTTTCCTAAGGTAAGTTGCCACCGCCGAGTGGCTTTGCCCTTCCCCGAGAAAGGACACGGCTCCGAGCAGCGGTATCTCCAGCCGAGCCGAGCAGCGCGCTCCCTGCCCCGTAGCAGGAAGGGAGCGTCGGGTGCTCATGAGGGGAAGTTTGAGGTGCGGGACAGAGGGATCCGGCTTCATCGTGTAGAGGGAACGTAAGTGCGAGTAGGGAGGCACCTGGAGAGCCGTTCCCAGGTGGAGGGAGAGCAGCTGGTTGGAACGGAGGCGGGGGGAAAGAAGGAGAAGGAGAAGGTGGAGAAGCAGGCGGGGACTGAAGGGGGACGGGGGAGTCGTAGAGCGGAGAGATGGGGAAGGAGGTGGCGGCTCTTGAGCTCGTGGACTAAAGCAGCGCGCTCAGCTCCCTGAGGTCGGTGGTATCGCCGGTGCTGCCCCCGGCCCCGCGTCGGCGGCGAGATTTCCTTCGGGATTCGTTGGAAAAAGTGGCTGTGACCAGAGAGAGACTTAGCGCAAGGTTAGGGGCTGGCTTGTACCGGGGTGGGGGAGTTTCGGATCGCGCTTCTGTTCACTCCTGGGAGCTACCTGAGAGCAGACCTACAGGCGCCGTGCCCATGTTCCCGGCAGCTCTGCTCGCCGGCCGGGAGAAGGGCATCGGTGCTAACCCGGCCCATCGCTGCCTTTGTCCCTGCTGCTGTTAGCCGGCAGCTCGCCTTTCGGAAACTTTGTACGCCTCCCGCAGTGGAAGGACGGCAAGGCGGTGGTATGTAAACAGCGCGGCTCAGGAGATGGAGAGCGCAAACTGCGGGATGGATGTCTTGTTTGTTTGCCCATTAACTGCGCTGCTGGCAGCCGGTTTGTTATGTGTGTGTTTGGGTTTTGAATCAATATTTATTTACAAGACTCAGGTATTAATCACTCACGTCTTGGAAAGCTCGTTAGTGGTGACTTGTTTCCATGACAACAGGACCCCTCTGAGCCTTTGGGTTGTCTGTTTGCCCGTTTTATTTTGTTTTACTTTTCACAAACCGTATTCGTACTAGTATTGTGGTTTGCCACCCAAGAGAAAACCAAGGTAATAAACCCTGTGTGATTCTGTGGCCCCTACTCACCGTTTTTCTAACGCTCACTTATTTACCCAGACTTAATTAATGATATATGGAAGGGATTGAGCGAGTGCATGAGTTATACAAGATTTCTTAGTACTCGTCTTACTACCGTATCTCCCTTAGCTATGAAGCTAAGATACTGTTTTGACAGTCTCTTGTTTGAAGTACTCTTTAGACATGTTAGTGCTGAAAAGTGCAGTGTTTGTGATCTTTTCTTTTGTATATCATACCTTAGAACCCTTTGAGAAGCACTGTATTGCAGTCTCTGTAGTTTTATTGCTCTAGGAGAGCTGGGAATCAGTAGTGACTTATTGTGTAACTTTGTCACCTTCTTGTGGTGTGACCTTCACAGGTCTCTTAACATCCTCATATTCCACCTTGTCTTCCACAGAAGGAAAAGCTGCCCACTTGTACTTGTGAAGTGTTCTGAGCTAATTAAGCAAAACGTTTCTTCTAAGGTGGAATACTGTTAAAACTTAATATATTGTTTTTTGTTATGAGACTAAACATATCTTTTACATCCCCCACTTTTTAACTTCAGTCTTTATTTAACATGACAAAGTCATGTTAGCTCTTCAGATGATGTGTACTTTTGTCATCCAGCTGAAACCAGAGATTCTTAATCCCATTTATTCTATCAGTCACTGCTTTCCTGGGTTAACTTTATCAGTCAGGTAAAAAGGAGAATCTTTAGCATTCTTAATTTGTAGGAGTACGTACTATGATAAAGAGTGTATATGTGGCAAGAAGATAGAGTAGTAATGAAAGAAAATACAGCAAAACTGAATTCCAGTCTTGACCACTTGCTTTAGATTGCACCCTGAGAGGAACTTCAGTACCTTTTTTGATAAAGAGAGTGAGCAAGTGCACACTTTTAGCTAGATCTCAAGTTAAACATCTGAAACTGTTCTGCTAATTTTCATTGTTTTCCAAGAAACATTGTAATATGTGGTGTTTCTTTGAGAAGTACTATGAATGTGTAAGAAATATTCAAGAATATACAGTTCCAAAACAAAACACTGTTGGAGAGATGTTCAGCTGTGACCATTTTAGAAGACAGGAGTAGTAAGTTATAATAATAGGGGGACTTCAGTAAGAAGCGTACATTTTTCTTCCTTGAAATGCTCTTTTTAAGTGAATAAACTGTAAAGTAACTCTTTCACACTGCAAGGAAGAGTCTATCCCTAGCTCAGCTCAGCAGAGTGTTAAAACATGCTTCATTCCAAATGTATTAGTGTTCTCTAATATCAGTAAGCAAATAGCACTTTGAGGTTCTACTTAACAGGCCTTGATTCTTTAGAATATTTACCTTGCTTATAGGATTCCGGAGGTTTTAGCAGCTTAATAGTGAGACATCTGTCTCAAAATATTTCTTGTGAATTGAGGACCATCTGACCATTACCGGTGAAGATACCAGTGATGTAATTTTATGACAATCCCATGAAGAGAAAGAAAGTAAAAGAAATGTCATCTTAGCACCTTGTCCCCTTTGGATGTCATTGACTGAAATTTCCATACCAACCTATTAAATTTTTACTGCTTAGTTCTGCATAGTCAATACAGCTAAAGAGAAAGTAATTTAGTTTTTAGTCTGTGCTTTATGTTCTCTGCAAAGCCTAGTCTTGCTACCACCGGTTTATTACTGATGATAGTAAGAACAAGATATATTATGCCAGTTCAATACTCAGACCCTTACTGCCATGAGAGGAAAAAAAAAAAAAAAGAAATATTCATTTTATTTTTTAAGACTGATAACAGGGTGGCAAGAAAAAATATTTCATGAGACGCCTGTATTACTTTTATAATACTTTTTCAGGACAATGATCACTTAAAATTGCAAGAAGACATCTGAGCTGTCACTGGTAAAGGTGTTCTGTTTGAAGGAGTAGGAAAAAGTACAGAGATATGAAGGCTAAATCTATAGATATAGGTAATTGTTGTGGTTCAAGTCCAGCCAGTAATTCAGTACCATTCAGCTCACTCCCCCTCCTCTTCCTCTCTCCGCTCCCAGAGGGATGGGGTGGAGAATGGAAAGAATGTAACTCCCATGGGTTGAGATAAGACCAGTCCAGTAACTAAGGTATAACACAAACCACTGCTGCTACCACCAATAATAATAATGATAAGGGAAATAACAAGGGAAGAGAATACAACCGCTCACCATCTGCCGACCCATACCCAGTCCGACCCCGGCAGTGATCTAACCCTTCTGGGTAACTGCCCCCAGTTTATATAGTGGGCATGATGTGCTGTGGTGTGGAATACCTCTTTGGCTAGTTTGGGTCAGGTGTCCTGTCTCTGCTTTCTCCAAGCTCCCCCTCCTCCCTGGCAGAGCATGAGACTAAGAAAGTCCTTGGTGAGAGTAAACATTACTGAGCAACAACTAAAAATATTGGTGTTATCAGCACTGTTCCCAGGCCGAAAGTCAAACCCACAGCACTGCACTAGCTACTAAGGAGAAAAATGACTGCTACTGCTGAAACCAGGAGAATGATGATATTGATTTATATGGTATTTTACTCAGTATTACATCAAAGTAACTTGGATGTAATGTACTCTGGTTTTCACAAGCAAAATTGCTTTTAATGGTGTTCATATTCAACCTACATAATGCTCAAGTTGCACATTGCACAAACTTTGCTGCGATGTGGAAATAAAGTTAGAATTGCTTGTTTCTCTATTGTTGTAAGCCCCTCAACTGAGGTGAATAAGATGCTGGACCAGTATTTAGTGGAGGTAGTTGAGCTCCTTTCTCTGTAACTTACCTACTCTGGACAGATCATTTCAGCCCTCTATTTCATTTTTTTGCTAGTCATCCTTCCCCTATTTATCATTTAGTTTTGCTTATTTAGAGCATAGGATCCTCAATACACAGTCTTGTTATGTGCATATCTTCTGCTTAGACAGATCCTTCTTCAACAGCAAAATGTTACTGCAGTACAATAGCTAGAAATGATAGCGAGAATTTTTCCTGTATTGGTCATTGTGATCTTTGTATGATCACTAATTACTGCCTGAGAGGCAGTAAGATTGTTATAGATCAGTGTGAAGATGTAATAGAGGAGTTGCAGCTAATGTTAGTTCCTTAAAATTCCTTTTGCTAAATATATTTGAAGAAAACCTCTTTGAGAGAAGAAGTTCACAGATCTATCCTCCAAGGACTAGAGACTAAATTACTGCTCATTACTGAATTAGAGCTCATTACTGCTTTCCTGAACACATGTGTTAGCTGTCAGGTTGAACATACTAGTTTTCAGCAAGTAAAAATAAAGCCATCATTAATTTAAAATATGCATATTAGTGACAAGGGGTCATCAGAGGCAAAGTACTGAAGATTGAAAGTGGAATCTTGATTTTTGCTTTGGTTTGTTTTGTTTCCTTTTTTCCTTCTCTAGTGTTTTTGGTAAGCAGAAAGGCAAAGGCAGATAGAATCACAGAATGTTTTGGGTTGGAAGAGACCTTAAAGATTATCTAGTTCCAATCCCTCTGCCATGGACAGGGACACCTTGCACTAGATCAGGTTGCTCAAACCCCATCCAGCCTGGCCTTGAACACTTTCAGGGATGGGGCATCCACAACTTATCTGGGCAACCTTTTCCTGTGCCTCACCACCCTCACAGCAAAGAACTTCTTGCCAATATCTAGTCTAAATCTTTCAGTTTAAAGCCGTTCGCCTTTCTTCTATCCATACGTGCCTTTGTAAAAAGTCCTTCTTCAGATTTCTTTTAGGCCCCATAAACTACCCAAAGGTACTGGAATGCTGCTGCAAAGTCTCCCCAGAGACTTCTCCAGGCTGAACAAGCTCAGCTCTCTCCTGTCTTCACAGGAGAATTGCTCCAGTCCTCTGATCATCTTTGTGGTCCTCCTCTGGACTTGCTCCAACAGAGCCATGTCCCTCTTGTGTTGGGAGCCCCAGTACTACAAATGGGGTCTAACCGGAGCAGAGTAGAGGGGCAGGATCACCACCCTCGACCTGCTGGTCACACTCCCTTTGATGCAGCCCAGCATATAGTTAGTTTCTGGGCTGCAAGCACACACTGCTGGGTCATGTTGAACTTCTCATCAGCCAGCACCCCCAGACTCAGAGCAGCTCTCAGCAGAGTCTCTGCCCAGCCTTTATTTGTGCTTGGGATTGCCCTGACCCACATGTAAGACCTTGCACTTGGTCTTGTTAAACTGCATGAGTTCACCACCTCTCAAGAGTGTCAAAGTCCCTCTGGATGGCATCACTTCTTTTCAGCGTGTTGACTGAAACACAGAGCTTGGTATCATTGGCAGACTTGCTGAGGGCACATCAATCCCACTGCCCATATGAGATTCCAAGGATTTTTTGATCTTAAAAAACCACACAGCTTCATTTGACAGAAATGAGTAATGTTGTTAGGAAGGTATGAGAACTCTTTCTGTA